GACGGCGGAGGAAGGCTACTTATTTAACCACTTTCAGCGGAATTCCTACCCTAAAAGTGTCATTCTACGCTGTCTGAAGTTGAAAAATCAACCACCGCCCACTTCCGCAAGTGCCACGGAAAGGAGAACGTTCGTTCTACCATACATCCATGGGATTTCTGAGATGGTAGCGAGGCTTTTAATGGCTCACAGGATCAACGTTGCACATGAAGCAACGGAAACTATTCGGAATAAACTTTTCAGGGCAGAAGGCCAACGGAGTAGAGAAGAAACAGCAGGTGTGGTTTACAACATTTTCGGCAAAAATTGTGACAAGTACTACGTGGGCCAGACAGGGAGGAAAGTTGACACAAAGCTGCATGAACACAGACTGGCCATCCGCCGCCATGATGAGAAATCACTAATGTCAGTACATATGGATGCCGAAGGTCATCGGTTCGATCTGGGGAATGCCAAGATACTTGGAACGGCAATGAACAGCAGAGCGCGTTAGTTCCTCGAGGCCTGGCATTCGGGCCAGAACTCAAACAGCAAGCATCTAGAACTCGAAGGGGTCTACAAAGCTCTGCAGGTGAGGTCAAGAATAAGTACCAGATCGACAGGGCGTAGACGTGGCCACTTTGTCAACCCATGTGATCCAAGCGAAGATACATTCAAAGCAGGAGACGATCAATAATCACCTGGATCTGGCAGTGGCTTATGAGACTGCAAATCAGACCTCTATAGCCGCACTGAGGATGTTGTCTAGTTTGACAAGAAGCCGTCTGCAACCAAATTTCCTAGCTCGGAATAGTTTTTATCCCCAATATTCTTTTGTGATGTAATGTGTACACAGCCCCGTAGCTATAAAAACGTTATGCCTCATAATTAAGAGACGGTGGCACGTTACTGAGTGCACCTTTCCCGATTTTTGCTCGTTGAGGATTACTTTTGTGTTGCTATCGATTAGGAGGATTATAATGTTTATGTCCCATTAGCTCACACTCTACAAAGCACGGCCTTACTTGGAAAAGCACCAGGTACGTTTCGCCCTATTGGGGCTCGTCTGTGATGTGTATTCGCTCTGTCCCCTACTGGGGCTGGATCCCATGACTGCTAGAGGCAGATGCCAACTAGCCAGCAACTTAAGAAACTGATCCACAGGGGACGTTTGCTGGGCTACATAATTTGCATGCTAACTGGAATATAGCACAACCTATCCGTCACTGCCACGTAGGTCACTACGTTATCATATGACAGTGGCCAGCCTCCGAATCTCATAACTTCCTCTCACTACATGCTACGTCTATAATGTCTGAAACTAGGAGAGGCTACATTTTATATTGCTAATGAGTAACAGTATTTTGCCAATGAGTAGCAGGATTTATTTTTAATTATAATTTTTTCGTCCCAGTAGCTCACAAGCTACATAACACAGCCTAGTTCAAAAAGCACCAGACACTATTTACCCAATTGGGTCTCGTCAGTGGTGCGCATCCCCTCGGTCTCCGACTGGAGATGGACTCCGTGACTGCTAGATGCAGATTCCAACTAGTCAGCAGCTTAAGACGCTGAGCCACGGAGGACGTTGGCTGGGCTACCTAATTTGCAAGCTCACTGGGATATAGCACGAGCTATCTTTGGGATCACATGGGACCTGGATGTGATCAGCACATCCACCTCAGTCTATCCTATTCTGTGTGCTTGTGCCTTATAAATTGTAGACCAAATATCTACGAAAGACCGATGTCATCTCTTCCGACTTGACCTGGATTAGTTTTACAACCTAAGTTAGGTACAAACTACATGCAGGTATGCGGACGGTAATCTTTTTAGTGAAATTATTTCCCTTCAGCAAGCATAGTATAAAAAGCTGGTATATGCATGCATTTCGTAGTGCCTCCTTAGTACCATTTCTAATTACATTGATCAGACCACATAGTTGGGCTACACCTCGAATCACTGAGGAATATACCATCTATTTATTTGTACTTATTTATAGTTGACATTGGGTACAATAAAAACCATACTGTGCAGAATGAATGACGGATGTTCAGCCCCTACGTCCAGCGCAGCGTTAGGTTGATGAAGAATAGTTTTTTTAACGCTTATTACGACGACCGCAGCAAACCGACAGAATCGGGGATTATAGTAACGCAACACAATGCCTAGCTGAATTCTATCCTGTGACCCGATACCACTAGGTGTTTGCCTATTAATGAAGCCGACGGCCTATGTGAACATGTTCCTTCATTTGGGAAGTAAGTTTTTCATCAGTTCTGCTTATGTAACTGGTTCCTCACGTAACACAAATTGGTAAACACAGTGAGAGTTGACCCCGATTGGCTGCGATTCATTCACAAAGTGATGGATAGTGATTAGTTCGGAGGTTTGTTCTGAAATGACTCGGTCAATGGTTAGACAGAAAATAGTTCACCTCTATTGCCATCCGCATATTCCAGCTGTGCTCGCAAAAATGCTTTGTTCAATCTATACCTGCCATAGCCGAACAGCCATCAGCGCAGCTGTCACTGCAATCGGCTAAGGCATTGTGATTACGTAACCCCAAATGGATCTGTGTTAATGTGACAGCGGCGAATTATTTGCTATCTAACCATTGACCTAGTCAATCCAAAACGAACCTCCGAATTAATCACCATCCATCCCTTAGTAGTTTAAGCTTCTATGATTGTACCGACCCGTAGATGAATCTTAGAAAATAACTATTTTGCCTCAGACTGGTGTTCTTGATGCATTGCTGCGAATGTTCTATATGTTCAGATTCCTTCGCTGGAGGAATGGAAAAACTTAGGTTGGGTTGATCACAACGATTGGCAGCGTAGTAATGTCCCTGCGTGAGAGCTCGAAACTGCGCCCAAGATGATAACTGGTCTTGTACTGCGTGTTCGATCACTTCACTAGTCAAATGTATACTTCTCTTGGTCCAAATGTACAAGCGGTTAACAGAATAAGTTGAACACCTAACGAACGTCAAGATTATATCACTGGAAGAGAATATGCACCATGATAGCGCAGTGGCTTTAAGGAGAAGTATTGATGCAAAATTCGCTTCACTCGAACCACGATTGACAAGGTCCTCATTACCGTTATGTTCTCCAATGTTGGAAGAGCGCCAGGCGAAAGCAGACCGTATCTCTGATGGACAAGCGGGACTCAGGACCCCGAAAATCAGGCACCACTCGAAACGCGTGATCGATCAAATTCAGACTTTCTTGACAACTTGTATCATTACCAAGGATGGGATAGTCGAACCCGAGCCTACTGCATCTGAAACCCAGAGGTATCTGGTCGAGTGCAAATCCCCTGAAATTCCAGCCACATATGTAGAGATCGCTGTAAAAGTCCATCTGAATGCTATCTTTAGTGTCTCCACTGTTGCAAACACCAATAGAGCGACAAACGGTGGATCATCATCACTTGGCATAAAGCCAGGCCCAAGGATCACATGACCTTGCAGTTCAGCAAAATGGGCCCCAATAATAAGTACCTGACTGTCGGGTGCACCAATGTTCCCGAATCTGCCGCCATCACATTGCGAGGTAAGTCGTTTGACGACCAAGACCAGTGGAACTCACTGTACATTTTAATGGATGTAACAGCCAAACCCACAAACCTACTGAGAGTTACTCGTCACCCGAACTCTGCACACTATGGCGAACCCTGAATTATTAGGATTACACTGGAATCGGCCATTGATGTAGAAAACCTTTTACTCTCTGTACCTGCGATATAACACGGGCCTTGTAAGGTACGCATTTATCCTGAGGTCCCTTAGAGCACGCAACAGTCGAAAAGAAACATCCCTGGTAGCACATGTCCAGGTCCTGTCCAGTTTAGCATCCTAAACGTTCCTATGAGAGCATTAGGCTAAACTGGACAGGAAGTATTACCGTGAGACGGCTAAAAAGGGTTCCTGTCCAGTTTGCGTTGGACCAACGAAGATGATGCTAGCGTTGACCAATAGAAATTCACCACTATGCGTGACAATCCGGCTTGTCCAGATCCCGTCATTGCCTCCCATGGGTATCCGAATACGGACACCACACTTGAAGCACTATGCGCCTAACGAATATATGGACGGCTCGGACCTAGTGTTCACCCGGTACCTGTTGCGGTAGCTTCTGGACTTGGGAACCCACCTAGGCGGCGACTCAAAGCTGTTGGTCAGAAAAGGAAACCGCTCTTACCGCGCACCTGACATCACAAGGCGAAAGAAAATTAAAACCGAGGTATAGGAATGCTATATATACATGAAGGGGTGCAGTACAAAGAACGTTAGTAGCAGAAAGCGGCATAGTCAATATTCTTAATCCGCTTCCGCGAGTGTCAACGTACGAGGCTAAAGATGTGCCTAAGGAAGCAGGGGACTCACCTCATTCGCACTGCATACTTTAGTTTGCTCAACCGGTGGTCTTTTGTGCCGTGCAGAATGCAACCACGTTTTGATGTGCCGTGTAATGTCAGCATCGGAAGATGCATCACCCATGCGTTGCCGAATGATGCCTTGGTAGTTTTTATGGATTACTGCATTGCAACCTACCTTGTACAAGGCCGTTCATATTTGTTCGCCTGAATGCAAACGAACCTCTAGCGCCGGAGTAATTTATCTCCGCGGCAACTGATCTTGTCATCAGCCGCTCCATGGTACCCCGGACGATGAGTTGCACGTTATCACCGTGCACAGCGCATAAATGGTTGACCTAAAGTAGTTGAATAATAAGACGAACTTACGACTCTGTTTTTGAAATCGGGGTCCTTCAGCCGTTCATCATACCTCTTTAGCTCACTGAGTGATGAATGGCAGAGATAGTCCCGGTGCAACACTTTGGGGTTGTCGTTGTAGCATTTGCAACATCGCTTCGGACATGCGGCGATGGCCGACCAATTCTGATCGAATGAGACATAACTCATCTAAAAATAGGGCTGAGTGCAATGCAATACATCCGTGGCGTCTTACATTTTATAGCCTGCAGTTCCTGCAGCACATCCAGATTGCTTGGTGGGACGTCAGCAATAACCGGTGGCGCGATTACTGTTTAATAAGGGCAGTATGAAATCGATACTTACGGTTGCTTGTTGATGGCCCTGAACGTGATGGACTAATGCCACTGAACAGAGAGAAGGGCGCACGTGCGTATGTTGCTGCAGAAGGCCTTTTGGGTTTGCTTGGACGCGCGGCATCCTCGTCATCGGAGCTAGAACGGACGGGCTGGCGTCTAAGGGGAAATAAAAAACACCATACTCACATTGCACGCTTAGCTGGAAGGCCCATGGGAATTGTATCGTCTGTCGATGGCAACATCCCGCGCTCAGATTGCCGTTCCATTTCTCGGGCATGCTGGAAGCTAACTAACGAGGTGGGTTAATATAAGAGAAATACTTACTCGTGCTAACGATTATGGACACGGCAGTGCTGACCACATCGACATCCGGCGCAGTGTGATTTTTCACCGCTGCATAGTAGTGCGTACCCCGCACTGAAGGTATTTGAGCGTATGAACCTTCTTCTCTAAGCCAAGTGTTACTGACAATAGTTATTAAATCCTCGGAGTCAAGGAGTTTGACAACGCTGTATCCCTGAAAAGCCATTATTGCTGAAAAAGAAAGACGTTAGTATTTAAAGTGTATAACTGTGTGGCATAG